CGTTATTCGCGGAATACGAGTTACGGGCCGTAACTCTGGGCCCGAAAAATTGTCCATTTCGTTCGTCCGTATGCATCGTCTCGATTGTGGTTCGCTTACAGACAAAGCGCTGCTCGGCGAGAAGAACGTCCTGGCGTTCAACACGCTGCACGTGGGTGGTTACTTGCATTCCGGCGAGGAGATGCCGCACTTCGTCGGCGCGCTGCAGCAGATCTGGTTCAACGGCTATCCGTATTTGGAGATCGCCCGTAGCGCGGGCGCGCACCTGACGCCACAGCAAGGGCTCACGCCGATCATCCGAGTGAGCGGCAAGTTCGGCAAGAGGAATCATCCCGTGCATCACCCCGTCACGTTCACCTCCAAGCACACCTTCGTCGGCCTGCCCGTGCTCAAGGCCTACGTCGAGACCAACATATACTTCCAGGTGAGCGCCGCGCACGAGCAAAACACCCCCCCCCCCCCCGCTCCACAGCGGCCAGCCGAGTGTCGCGAGATTCGATAAAGCAGGTCGCGCCCCCGATGCCCCGTTCGATCCTCGCCACGCGCTGTCCACGTCGTTGTCCGCGCTGTCGCGGTCTCAATCGCCAACGATTGCGCTTGCAGTTCAAGACGACGGAGCCCAACGGCCTGATCCTGTACAACGATGGCCGCGAGCGCGACTTCATCGCGGTGGAGCTGCTCAAGGGACACGTTCACTACGTCTTCGACCTGGGCGACGGGCCCGTGGAGATCAAGGACAGCACCAAGTCGCCGCTGAACGACGGCAGGTGGCACGCGGTCAGCATCGCGCGACCGGCGCCCAAGAGGCACACCTTGGCCGTCGACGATCACGTGACCGTGGCGAACAGTACGGGCAACAACGAGAACCTCGATCTGGACGGCATCCTGTTCATCGGTTTGTTCCGCATTTTTATAATACCTACACGAGCTCTGCGCCTGGAAAAGGCCGCGTATTTTCATATATATTACTCGGGTCCTCGAATGCCTTAGCTCGAACGGCACGCTTGCCACGCTTGCTGCGGGCTAAGGGCGCGCATTGTGCCGGCCCAGCAGGTGATCCGCTACCTGTCGTTCGGCCATCTTCGAACGACAGGTAGCGGCCACGAGTGGTTTCATAGACTTCTTCATCGAGCAGGCGAACATGAGAGCAGGGCTGGTGTTTGGCCCAGTGCCCCGAGTTGACGGTCTGGCAGGCCCAGATGAGACTGAGCCTCGCTTTGCATCACACATTGCGATTGGCACGACTCGACTTTTCCAAGCTCGAGCATTGGACAGCGTCATCGAATTGCGTCAGCCAATGGAAGCTGGCCCGAAAGCTATTCACCGACGAACCTCGAGGAGTAACCACCCGCGGCTTCTTCGAAACTGTATTTTCGATTCACTTGACACCATGACGGTCAAGCCCAATTAGGTAGCTTTTCGTGATCAGGAACTTAGAAATATCGACTAGGTAGCACTCGAGGCAAAGATAAACGGAATATCGGTTAAAGATGCTATCTTTCTCGTTGCTCACGGCTCGCTCATTATCTTCATTTTGAGGCTAAACGGCCCGACCCGCCTTCCGTATTTCTCACGCACGAATACCTCCTCGGTGAAAATGGCTTTGCTTCTACCAAGTCAATGATCCAAAGCCATCGTTTGGCATTTCATTTGTACACGATGGATTTAAAGGGTCGCGACCTAATTTTTAAAAAGCCCGTGGAATTTCAGAGCGTTGAAAATCTTAACGAGTCGCAGTCATCGTTATACACGTAAATCCCGATTGGCTTCTAACTTTTCAAAGGTTTTTGGCCACTCTTCGAATGTAATTTTTTAATTGGAATAGCAAGATAAAACTTTCTTTAACAAATTAAGCTCATCCGACGTACATCGGACAACTGCTAAATCATTGCGGAGTCTAAAAAAGTCGTCCAGTTATTAAAAATTCACGCGAGACGTTTTAATGAGTCGACCTCATTTCACTTTCAGAATTTTTCATAATTACTAGGAAAAAATTTAAATTTCATGAAAAATGAAGGTTCTCTAATTTAAACATTCATGGAATGTGACACTGAATCCTTGCGCTCGTGCAACTAAACGAGCTTGGACACTGAAACTCAGTATTTGAACAACTCAAGAGTTTTGTCGTTGGAATGCGCAAACACTCAATTGAAATGAAATTGAAATCCGTCGTTGAAGATTACACTCGATAATTGCGCACTGCTGATGAACACTGTATAATCGAACTCGTGATGATGTTGCAGGTGGCGTGGAAAAGGGACAATACTTAGTGCTGCCCAAACCAGTGCGGAGTCGCCACGGATTCGAGGGCTGCCTAGCATCGCTCGACCTGAGCGGCGAGAGTCCAGATCTCATGTTGGACGCGGTCGTACCAAGTTCCTTGGTCGAGTCCGGCTGCGACGCCTACGCTAACCTTCATCCCGGGAAAAAGTGTACTCACGACACCTGCGCCAATCACGGCACTTGCGTTCAACAGTGGAACAGCTACACCTGCGATTGCGACATGACCAGCTTCTCCGGAGCGACGTGTGCCGATGGTACGTAAGCCGATCGACTGTTGGAGTGCGGTTCGCCGAGCGAGCGGTGCTGATGAGTGAATGCCTTATCCGCAGAGAGCATTTCGTACGAGTTCGGCCCGGGACGAGGCCTCGTAACGTACACTTTCCCGCCCGAGAGAAGGCCAGACATGAAGAGAGACACGCTGGCCATGGGCTTCATAACGACCGTCAACGAGGCCGTTCTGCTGCGAATAGAGTCGGCGTCCAGCAACGACTACCTTGAAATTGAAATCGTTAGTGGCGTAGCTGTCGCTCAAACTGGCCGACAGTTCATTATTGTTTCTCGCAGGTGGAGGGAAACGTGTTTGCCGTGTACAACATGGGAACTAACGACCATCCCATCGGTGAGATTGGCGTAAAAGTGAACGACAACCAGTACCACGTAATCAGATTTACGAGGAGCGGAGCCAACAGCACGCTGCAAGTGGACGACTACAACTTGCTGTCGAACCACCCGCAAGGTACCTCTCCGAACAAACCAACGGTCCGCCCGGCGCCGATCTGAAAGCAATTCTCATGCAAACGAGCGCGTCGGGAGCACTGGCGGCTGCACTCGACCAGCCAACGAATGTCAGGCGTCTCGCGCGAGCGACCTCGGTCGACTGACTGCTCGCAGCCACGCGCACGGGGCCTTTTATACGGCCGCGGAGAGGGACACGGAACGCGCGCTCGAGCGCAGTGCGAACCCGCGGCCGCGATACCTTCTCATTGATGCGACGCCAGTGCGGGGCCTCGTGGGAATATCACTCGCCCTCGATTCCTTGTGTTGTGTTGCATTTACGCGCCGCTCGACTTTTCGTTCAAATTGCCCTGTCGCGATGGGCTTGATGGCGGTGCCTGGAGTCGCCAGTCTTTTCGCAAAATCAACCGCGTGAAAATCACCGGCAGCGAATTGCGCAAATGATCGAGCCCAGGCTCGCCGAGAATTGCCCGCAAAGCATGGGGATTTTCGGCGTGGGAACGAATTTCAATTTCGCGCGATTACAATCGGCCCGACAATGATTGCCTTCGTTGGTTAAATAAAACAGTCGATCGAGTATTGAATAGTCCTTTAGTATTTTCGGCCGTGTGAGCTTCAACGTGGGCTTTGATTTGCTTGCGTTTCCAGAATCTCGACTTGACGATACGCTAGTCTAATGCAAAGACAGCGAATATTTTAACAACCGCATTTGTCAGTTGCGACGCGGAACTCGCTTCGCGTGTTGAATTTGCGTTATTAGGCGACGATGACAACGCGCGGCTGTCCTCTTTCCACAAAAACGAATCCCTAAACACAGCATATGAATATATAAGTTATTCTTTTTTTTTCTTCTTTCTTTTGACCTGCGGGAGAAACAGGTCTTGACTATATACGGACGAGTATCTGGTAAGAGGACGCATAGTGTATAGTCGCAGACGAAACGCATTCATATATATAATCTCAGGCCGTTCCGGAAATTCTCGGAGCTCTCTCTCTCTCTCGCTCTCTCTCTCTCTCTCTCTCTCTCTCTCTCTCTCTCTCTCTCTCTCTCTCTCTCTCTCTCTCTCTCTCTCTCTCTCTCTCTCTCTCTCTCGATGGTCGTGGCTGCCGTCGCAGTTGGGGGTGAGTCCCAAGAAATTCCGTTTGAAAAATTTTACCTTCTGGCGATTTCTGGGTTCCTGACTTTCGAAACCGAGTTAATTGGCTTTGTCCCATTCATTGAGAAACCGCACAAAGAGCCTCGTTGACGCGCGACTCTCCACGGGTGGGCGGATGCCTGCTTAATGTCCAAATCTCTATACACAGTGCTACGGGGACTGTGGAAATCGAGAAGGTCGTTAAAGACTCCTTAATAGATCTTCTTTTGAAATTTTTCATTCTATTTCGGTGCGACCTATTTGATATTTCTACGAGCCTGATCATTGAAAGCTACATAATTGGTCTCGAGCGTAGGCGTGTCAAAATACGTATTGTACATTATCGAGGAAACTCTCGTGTAGCTCTCTGGCTCTAAGCGGTACGACACTGCCTAGCTTATCTATTATCGGGCGCAGGCGCGTTTTCATGCTACGGAGTTGCATGTAGTACGGAGGCAAAGCAGTCGTCGGATGAGTTTCCGAAAAACAAACAAAATATAAATAATAGGAGTCGGGAGAATTTGGCAAAGCAAACTTGTCTCTGCAACGACACGGCAAAATGCGCTCTCGCGCAAAGGGTGAGCGCGCGCATTGCATTGCAAGAGCAGCTACACTCTGCGTCGAAAAGTCGTAGAGGCAGCGACGCTCAATCTTATCTAATGCCGCTCGGGTTTTTCACTGGAAAATTTTCCCTCGGGAGCCCAGAAGCACACACCACCATGGCTCTCCTGTTCCCCTATTTGTTTGCTGCACTCGGCGCTGAGAACCCTCCTTCCCGTCGCAATCGGCCTATGCACTCGAGAGAAATTTTTCGGGGGCCCGTGCCTGCGTCAGCCAGTTTCCCAATGGCGTTGAGCCGTGATGCACGGGACCGTTGACCCCCCGTCGCCCGGAAAACCACTCCTAATTTCTCATGCTCGCCTAGGTCGTTTGACAGCTGTGCCAGCCGCTTTTGGATGCAACTCGCTCGGAAAACCCTTTTCCCCCTGGCCATCTCCGCCGATCTCATGGTTGCCTGCTAGCGAAGTAAACAAAGTTACGCAAGAGATTGTGCTCTGGACATTGTGCTGCGACCGCAGGCTACCTACGCCGCCGGACCGCCGAGTTTTCCCGATTTTCCGACGCTGTGAAAAGCCTCTGCCAGCTCCCCTCGTCCCCCTGCGCTGTCATGTTCGCCTGAACTCGGAAAACTCAAAAAACCACGAAAACTCGGCGATGCTGTCGTGTCATTCGGGAAAATTCTTCCTCGGGCGTTCTGCTCGCCTATTTTGGAAAACCTTGGTCGAGCTCGCGCATCCCCGTAGCACGACGAGAGTCACGACGTCGCGCCGTCTTCCTAAGCGGTCCTAGCGTCCTAGTATCCTCCAAGACATTAATCCGCCTCATTAGTCTTGGCGCGCCCGGCTAGTCCGAGCGGCGAGCGGCGCGCGGATTAAGAGGAGCGAGAGGAAGGGACTTGCGCGCGGCAGGCCCCGCGCGCCGACTTTCTGCGCGCTGCTGCGGCCCTGGGACTCGTAGGGGATTTCTCGAGCCTCTCCTACGTAATCCCATGGCAACCGGCCCCTTTTCTAGCCGCGCATTCCGATCTAGCGGGAATGCGCGCTCGCTCCCCCCGCTCCGCGCCGCAGAAAACTCGCTCCCCGCCACTCGGGCGCGCGAGTCGCCTGCCGCCTGCCGCCTGCCGCCTGCCGCCTCGCTAGCCGTGCCGCGCGTTTCTTCGGCCGCGCTCGCCCGCGAGTTTCCTCCGGCCGGTCCGCTTTTCCGCCGGCGCGATGCCCGAAGCTGCTTCGGGCATCGCGCCGCGACTCCTCCTCGGCGCCGGGCCGGAGCGCTCGCTCGAGGCCGCGCGCGAGCAGGCCCGCGGGCGGGAGGAGCTCGTCGGGCCGGCCGATCCGCGACTCTCGCGCTGGGCTCGCGCGCGCGCAGCTGTAACGACCGCGCGAGAGCGAGCGCGCTCCGGGCCCTCGTCGTAGAACGGATGCATCCTCGTTGGCTATTTATCGCGTATGGACGCATTACGCGCACACGCTACCGAGAGCGAGCGGGAGAGCGGGAGAGCGGGAGAGCGGGAGAGAGAGAGAGAGAGAGCGCGCGCGCAGGGTGAATCTAATTTGATTTAATTAGAATACATTTGGCCGGTTTTAAAACGATTTTCTCGACGAGGCTCTTGGCCGGTATATCAGCCTGGTAACTAAATTTATCAAATTATGCGTGGCTCTCTTTCTCGGGCGGCGAGGAGAGGGGCGTGGCCGCACCGAAGGGGGGCCCTCGCGGCCGAGCACGAGAGAGCGAGACAGAGGCCCCTTTCGCCGAGCCGCTTGCCCGGGCCTCATGTTCGCCTGGCAGCCAGGCGCACTACTTTGCTCAGATTTTTAACCCTTTGCGCGGCGAGGTCGTGAACCGGTCGGCGCGCGCGCGCGCACTTCTGCTCGCTTGGTCGCGCGCGCCGACGACGCTGGCTCGGGCGGAGCGAAGCGCCGAGCGCGGAGCCGCCACTTCTCGCTCTTCTCCAGCGCTATTACACTCGCGGTGGCGTCGGCGCGCGCGCCTCATGCTATCCTAATCGGGAAGTAGCACTTGGGCGCTAAGATTAGTAACCCTTTGACGGGGCGTATCCCCCCGCGGCTAATTATCGCGGACGCGCGCGCCGCTCATGCTGCCCTGGTAGCTCGCATCCTCGAGTCTTTGTGACGAGGCTAATAGTCGCTCGAGAGCGCCCGAGGAGGGGGGACGAGGCCTATTGTGCGCGCGCGCACGTCGACGGCCGCCGTGCCCGCCCCCCGTGCCGCCGCGAAATTTTCGTCGTAGCCCGGCCCTCCTGTTGCCCGGATAAGTTTATGGCCCTGCTGAAACGCTGGCGAAGCAGCGCCGGCGGATGCTCTCATGTTTTTCTAATCGCGGCCGAGCGCTCGCTTAGCGCGCCTGCACGCGCGGACTCGTCGTCGCGCGGCCGTTCGCGTGCGACTCCCCGAGCCGAGGCGGCCGGCGCGCGAGCGAGCGCGGACGCGCTCTTCCTTTGCGACGTGCATAGAGAGAGAGAGAGAGCTGCATCGGTGCGCGCATAGTGCAGCAGCGGCGAGCCAACTCCTACTACCCTGTTCAGTAGAAATTCGAGAGCGTTAGAAACTCTCTAACCCTTTCGCTTGGCAGGCGGAGGAGCGCGCAGCTGCCTCCGTCCGCGTCCGGCCGCGATTTTCTGTGCGCGCCCGCCCTCGCTGCGCGCGCGCGCGCGCACACGTGCGCCGATCGTTCGCCGGCGCGCCCACGGGGGGCCATTCCTCCTCCTCGGCGCTCCTACTGCTCTGCTTCATATGTGGAGGCCCAAGTGCCCCACGTGTGTATGCGCACGCGGCACGCCACGCTCCGACACACGCGCGCGCCTGTGTGTGCGCCGTGCGCGCACCAAGGAGCGCCGCTCCCCCCATTTTTTCTCTTTTTCTTTCTTGTTTTTCGCTTCGGAAAAACTCCTGCGAATTTGTGCCGGCGGGGCTTCATCGGTATGTATTGCGAAAAGCCGATTTGTTTTTATTAATTGGTTTGCTTGTTTCATTGTTTTTCCTCGATCAGTCAAGATTCGTTTGCTCATTTCGTACTCGTCGACGTATTTTGGAAAATCTAATTTTTGCGGTAGAACAACAGATGCTCGGGGCTATTTCTCTGAAAGAAGTCGAAAAAATCCAACAACTACGCGAGTTTTATCGTGATCCGTAATATTTCAACTAAAAATGCCAGAATCTATTCTCGATGAAGATAAATCTTGAAAATTATACGCAACATGGACTTGAAGATAGTCTCGCTTCAACTTTCGATCTTAGTTGTATTTTATTGTTTGGTAATTCTGTTTGGTATGAAAAAACGCATATTA